TGATGGATATTTAGCTTGTTTCCAGTCTCTGCTATGACTAACAACGCAGCAATGATGATCTTTACACGTACATACTTGTGTAATCTGTGTGTATGTTTGGAAACAGACTCCTATATGTAAAACTGCCAAGTTACAAGTGTACTCTTATACGGTGGATGGGCATGGTCAAGTGCCTTCTATTGGACTTGTACCAATGGATACCCCTACTAGTAATGTATGGGGGCTCCTGCTTTCCGCTGCCTTGGCGATGTCGTGCATTAGCAGCATTTTTGGCAGGAGACTTTCACATTGCTTTACTTGTCATTTTCACTATTATGAAAAGAAGCATCTTTTCCATATTTATTTGCCATTTATTTCTCTCTTTCTGTAAAATGACTATTTATAATCATCACTCATTTTTTTCTTTGGGTTGTTAATCATTTTCGTATTCATAAGAGCTCTCATATATTAAGCAAATATGTCCCTTTTTGGTCATATGTGTTGCAGATGTTTTCCTCAGTCTGTCATTTGCCTTTGATCTTGCATATAGTATTTTAACCTGTATAGAAAATGTTACCTTTTATGTATAAAGGTAATGTATAGCAATCTTTCCCTTTATGGTTTCAAGATTTTGTGTTTTATGTGGAAAAGACTTCATTCCAAGATAAATTTTTAAATGCTAATTCCCCCTACATTTCTTTGGTTTTCTTTCTTACATTTAATCTGTGTGTGTGCTGTATAAGAAATAAAGAAACTAACTTTTTTCCCCCAAATGTCTAGCCAGTTGTCCCAACTCTATTTATTGAATAATTGCTTTCACTCACTGGTCTGAAATACCATTCTACTCATTTTGCCTTTGAATTTGTGTCTTAGGAATTGACACATGTACTTGGGTCTTCAGTTTGAATTTGTTTGGAATCTATTTCTGTATTCTATTCTATACAATATTCTGTCTTTTTCATATTGTTTTTATTTCTGTATTTGTAATTCCCTTTAATATCTTATTCAGATAATCCTCTCTAGTTGCCCTCCTTCTTTAGAATTTTCCTGGAGATTCTCACATGGTTATTTTTCATTGGGAACTTAGAATAGCAAATCTAGTTATCCTCCAAATCCCAGAAAGTCCCCTTGGGTTTTTTATTGGAATTATGTTAAATTAAATTTTAGATTAATTTAGCAAAAATAATAAGGATAGCAATTTATCTGAGTGTTTTAACTCACTTAGGATAATTTTACAGATTTTTTATAATTAAGCCCTGTATATTATTTATTAAATTTATTCCTTCATTTCATTTGCTGTTGTTGGTATTATAAATGGAATCTTGTCTACAATTAAATTTTCTAATTAGTTATGGTTTACATATAGGGAAATTATTACTTTTCGTGTTAACTTTGAAAGCTGACTGGATTCTCTTATTATTTTTAATAGTTTTTCAGCTGATTATCTTGGGGCCACTTATTAGTTATCTTTTGAAAATGAACTGGTCAAAATATGCCTTTCTCCTTTTTAATCAATGTCTTTACTAAGCCTAATGAACTCTGTAGTTGTCCACGGGAGAAGAGGTACTAAGCATGATGAGTGCTGTGTGGGACACCCAACCAAAAGACAATTAAAACAGAATGTGGACTCTGTTGATTTATGAGAAGAAGCATTTGATCTAGTTTATGTGAGGATAGTCAATGCCGGGATGGTGTAATATTTGCATGAGATTAAACACAATCGTCGAAAGAGGTTCTTTCCCTACTCTGTTATTTTAAAAGCAATTCATGTACAGTATTTTAATGTAGACCACTTATGGAATAGATACAGAACATGTTAAATAGTAAGTATCCCCTGATTTCACTAGAGAAACAAGATAATTCTTTACGTAATTTTAAGAGAGTTAATAGTGGTAAAGTTGAAATCGAGAAGATGATGTTACTCTAGCACGTATGAGCCTAGCACGCTAACACAAACATGGTCCTTATGTGATACTGTACTCGAAGTAGCTTCTAAGCCCTGGTCTTTAAAGGATTGGCAGATGAGTCCTATGGCTATGTCAAAGGGCCAGAGAATGGTTTCAGAACCTTAGCATGTGGAGCCAAGTATGAAAAGGAGTCAAGGGCAAACCAAGCACTCAACCCTAAGCATGTTGGTGATAACTCAGAAGATTTTCTACCTGAATCACAAATATAATTAAGAGGCTATGGGTGGAGAAGATGGGTGATTGCCATCTAAGAGGAAATAAACATTTGGAGCACAGCCAAACCCTCTGTTTGATGGTGGCAGATTTATATGTTGCTGCCAAAAGCTTCTACCTGAAGTTAGAAAACATCAGTTGAATTGGTTGTAATCCTAGGCTTGTTGTGTAAACTCTGATGTGACCTACTCATTGGCAAAAAGTGAAGATGAATTCGGTGGTGTTCAAAAGAAAGGAGTGGGGAGGAGCTTGCATCTAGATGTGGAGAGATGGGAACATTTAGAGATTGAGGCTGAGGGTGTGGGTGTTAGGGTGTACTTGACTAGGGTCTCCATGGACTCCAAGCTCCAGAGATGATCCCAACCCAGTCATGACTAGTGTAATCATACGGGCTAAATCTTTTGGTTCTAACTCTTGTCGTATAGAGAGAAACAGCTGAGTCAGAGGTGGAAACCTTGGCACAGCAAAGAAACATACACAGCATCCTCACTGATTCGGCTCCAAGGGGTTGAATGAAGACCAGTGGGTTGAATGTACAGGGAGAGAGTGGTGCCGCTCAAAATAGGGAAGACTCCCTTGTTCGTGTTAAGTGACCAGGCACGAGTTGGGGAACATTCCCGGGGTGGGGGAGTGTGTAGAGGAGTCTGAAGCATCAAAAGTGTGTCTGAATATTCCAGCCTGTGAGAAATCTTTTAGCCCTGAGAGTCTATGATGTATAGATATAGTATGTTATTATTATAGGAAACAAAATAAATAATCATAACTAAATATATAAATATATGAATGTATATAAAGTATATAGTTATGGTTATTTATTTTAATAAATAACTATTATTTATATTGGTTATTTATTTTAATGTATTATATTTATTTTAATAATAACTGTTATTAATATTACTCTTATTATATTTTGTTTTTTTGAATATTTGTTATATGCCAGGCAATGCGTTGAACTCTTTATATGCACTATCTGTAAGGTAGTTACCGTCATTTCCCATTTTATAGATTGGAAATGGAATCTGAGGGAGGTGAAGAATGTCTCTAAGGTCAGTCACAGATTGTAGGCAGTGAAGCTGGGATTCAAACCCTGTCCTTTTGACTGCGGAGCTGCTGAGCTATACTTAGTTTCCACATTTTTAAAAATTACAAATTTACAAAGCGTATAGCAGTTTTCCAGTCTGAGGACATTGTCTACTTGCACAAAAAGGAAGGTTTCATCCTTTCTAATTTTTATTTCTTTGTCTGTTCATTGGCTTGCTCTAAAGAATATTGAATTATAATGAGACTCTGATAGAGACTAAGTAAGTGATCACAGATTTTCAAGCTTAAAATAGCAAATTGGAGTGTTGTGAGACCTAAGCCATAATAAAATCATGGAGATTATACCACCAACAATTGAACATTTAGACTGTTGATCACAGTTATCAAAGAGAACAGACTTACTGTTCATTCATTATTTTTGTTGTTCAATTCAACAAATATTTATAAACTTAAAACCATGTTAGTATGCAATGAAAGACACGCCGAATACATTTCAAATAAAACACAAGCACCAGAGATGTTAGTGCAGCCTGCTCTCTGTTTCCTTACAAAGCTTAACAAACTATCTGTTTTTGAAAACTACATCTTGCTTTTTCTTTTTTTTAATTTATTTTTCAATTAGAGTTGACAAACAATATTATGTTTGCTTCAAGTGTACAGCATAGTGATTAGACACTTACATACCTTACCAATTGATCACCCCAATCAAATCTAATACCCATCTGACACCATATATAGTCATCTTACTTTTTCTTCATAGGATGAAAACAACTATTCTAACGGGCTGTTTCCATGCCAATCTTTCAAATAAACACAATAATATTCACTTTTGGTTCCAATAGCCCTTTTTACCATTGAAATGAATCACTAGGATGCTGGAGATTTGGGAATGGTTTAGTAGGAAGAATAGAAAGGCAGAGCTGCTAGAGGAAGGGACAAAGGGATGGAAGAGGAAACCCAGTGAAATAAGAGTTGGTTGGACAAAGACCAAATTAAGGGGCAGAGTAAAGAGAGGTCAGGTGATAATGTATAGGAGACAAGGAGGGATCACCGTTGATAAAGTGCACAGCCAGGATTTAGAGACTTGAACTGCTGGTGGAACTGCAATTCAGCACTGATCAGGGGTCCTGCTCAAGCCAGGGGTCAGAGCCTTCTCTAGAAAGTTTTGAGATTAGAGGCAACTCAACCAGGATGGTGACCATCCCAGTTAAGTACACTTGAAACCACATCTTCCACAGACCCGATGGGATATCATTAAAGAGAGAAATTTCAAAATAAAACCTTAATGATGTTCAGAAAAGAGGAGTAAGGTGCAGCACCCTGTGGACCTCCTTGCTCCAACTGGCCTCCCAGGGGATGGGACTATATGGGATCCTAGCAATGCAGGATATTGGGCTTCCCCAAAACCCTTTACAACTTCTAAATTCCTCTCAGACACCATCTGCCTTCTTCTCTCTAGGCTCATCAGGGATGGAGCTTTCTCTGGTTATCTCATCACTGAGCAGGTGATTATGCCTCCATTCAGCCTCTGGGCTTCCCACACTCAACTCATTTACCCCTCACTCCCCCTCAGGGGTCAAGAAGAATGGCTCCTTTCTCTTTCTGTCTTCTGGTTCATTCCTTGCCAGAATCTTCTCAATACATTCAAAGGAGAACCTCCTCTCCCACCTCACCCCACAGCCCTCACCCTACTTACTCTCCCCACATCCACATCCCCACGCAGACAGATTCAAAGCTGTGGTCTGCACGTCCATGGGTGGTAGGGGGCAAAGTCTAAGGCTCAAGAGGATGAACACTCACCAAGTGTAGGGTGTCGGCTTTCTGCGTCTGCCTCTGTCGGCTCTTCTGGGCAGCAATGCGATTTTTCTCCCTCCTCTGAACTTTCCTCACATCGTCAGATGAGTCCTGGGGAGCAGAGATGATGAAAATGAGGCACATTTGCTCCTCTCTTCTGAGCTAAAGCAGGCTTTCATGCTGTTTGGTGTCCATCTGTCCATCCTTCCATTTCTTCATCTTTGCATTTGCCTGTCCACCCCCTATTTACCAAAAGGCTGAACCCAAAAGGGAACTCTTCCCCGCACTGTTACGCTCCCTTAGGTCTTTGTAACTTTCTTGGCTGAAAGTTACAGGAAGAGGGTAAAGACCTCAAGGCCCCAATAAAGCTGTATTTGGAAAAAAATGGTTAAGGCGCTGAAGTGTGTTTTATCACCTCTTCTCCTCTTCAGGGCTGCTCCACCCTTACTCTCTCAAATCTTTTTGGCCTAGATTTTTCTTGCCATTTTTTCTAACCTTTGTTGTTGTTATTCCTCACCTGAGAATATTTTTCCATTGATTTTGGTTTTTTTTTTTAGATAGAGTGGAAAGGAGGAAGGGATAGAGAGAAAAATATCAATGTGAGAGACACATTGATTGGTTGCCTCCTGCATGACCTTGACCAGGACAGGGATTGAACCCGTAGCCCAGGTACGTGTCCTTTACTGGGAATCAACACCTCGACCCTTCAGTTTGAGGGCCAGCTCTCTAACTGCTGAGCCAAACTGGCCAGGGCATTTTCTAAACGTTTTTTGAGCACCTACTATGTGCAAGCTTCTGTTCGAGTGCTTTTTCAGAGGTACTATTATTTCTTTCCCCAATTCTGTGAAGTTGATATTATTATTCCATCTTATATGTGAGGAAATTGAGGCTCAAAGAACTTGCCCAAGAGCTCACAGTAATCTGGAAGTTACATCTTCTGATGCTAAGTCTGATGGCTTTCTGAGCCCCACCCCCAAACTCACTGGCTTGTACCCCTTGTGCCTTTGCTGCATTTCTGGGCTGAGGTCCCCAACCCAGATCTGTTTCTTCTTTCCCTGCATTCCCTTCATTATGCTCACTGACCTTGACATCCCTCATGACCCTGAGCTCAATGCCTCGTACAAACTAGAGGCCAAGACTGGCTGTGATGGTGAAGATTACCTGGCCGTGGCAGGTAGTGAATGGATACTTAGGAGGACCAGGGGACCTTGGGTGTTCTCTAAGTACATCTCACAGATGGACATGTCCTCTGCTTGGGCATAGAGGTTGGCTTCAGCTTTTCCCCAGATGCTGCAGGACAAATGCAGGAGTCTGAGCGAAACCCTTCTGCAAGTCCCCACAGGCTAGCGGTGCACAGTTGCTAGGGCAAGACTCTGCTCAACAAGCCTGTGCCTCACTAATTTGCCCAACACTTCCAGCCATTGCAGTAGGAGGGCATTGGGTTAGATAGGAAGGAAGTGCTCTTCCTCTAAGGGGCATGGGGACTAGGTTACCATGGAAGCCGTGAGTAATTTCCTTCCTAAGAAGAGGACAGACTTCCAGGCAACCTGAGCCACCTTGATGCCATCTTGAGCAGAGGGCTGGATTGCTTGCCCTCTAGAGGTCTCCACTAGGACTTCTCCCACTTTGCCCCTCTTCTGCGAGATAATTTATAACCGATGTTATATTATATGCTTATATAGTTTTATTTTGGCAGCATCATTTTGAAAGCCCTCTTGGATATCTGTGCTAAGAAAAGAATGGAAAAAACACTTATCCACTGATGTACTGGAAGAGAAAGAAGCCCTCCTATGGAGAGGATGTCAAGAAATGCGGCAACGAGAACGCCCAGAAACTGGGAGGCAGGCAGGGTGCTGCGTTTTTTGGCAACCCTGGAGCTGAAAACTTTGACTTGGAAGTCACAGTCTAGACTCCAGGCGCTCCCAGAATCTCTACCTCAGTCTCTCTGGTTTTCCCCAGAGCTGAGCTGGGCTGCTAGTAAATGTCTCCCAGTCTCCAAAGTCACCCCCCAATTTAGTTCCTCCCTCCTGTCCAGAAGCCAGGGGGAAAGAGGTACTGGTCTCAGCCAGCATCCTTGTCTCGGGCTGTGCTAGTAACCGGGGCAGTGACCCAGTGGGTAGGAGGAAGCCTTCTGTGCTGCCCGGGTTCCTCTACCTTCTAACTTCATTTTTCTCTTTTACTTTTCCTGACCCCTTTCTCCCTTGCCCTGATGGCTGTCTCCTGGGACACTCCACCTCTAGTGCCTTTGGGTCGTGCATGCCAGCAACCCACTCTGAGGCTCCTCCTCTTGTTTTTCTACTGCCTTGGAGAAACGTAGAACCTTTCCCGAGAGACCAGAGTTCTCTGGTGTTCATCCTCCTCTTGGCTTCCTAGAAAGCTTCCTGGGGTGGGAATCCAGGTGAGGCAGAGGAGCTGGGCACCACCAGAGAACGAGGAGGAAAAGGGGCTTCGGCAGAATGGGTGGAAGGAGGAGGGTCTCTGCCAACAAGCTCAGCTTGATTGCAAACACCACGTCTTAAGTCTAGCAGAGAGCTCATGCCACCAGCCGGTCCCTCGAGCCTCAGCTCCCTGGTGAGGAAGCCCGCACCTCTCTCGTCCCCCAGGAGGATCGGAAGGGAGAAGGAAGGAAAGGAGACGCTACCTGTTTGCCAGGAGGGGGAGAGCGGCTGAAGCTGGAGTCGCTGCTGTCGGAGCTGTGAGGCATGGCTGCAGTCTTCCGGGCTCTCCACGCAGCCCCAGATGCCTCTGGGCTCTCTTGTCACCAGCTGGCTTCCTTTCCTGACTGTTCCCAGGCCACCAGGCTGCCAGTCCACCCCCTTGGCAGGTCCCTCCTCTGCCCGCCCTGCAGCCACCTCTGACCCTTGCGTCCTCCTCACTCCGGGGTGCAGAGGCACTGCTCCCCACAGGGACATGTCGCTCGCTTTGGGGCTCTCACGCTCTCTCTCTTGTGGTTTCTGGTAACTCACGCTGGAAGTCACATGGGCGGAAACTTAACTTAGAAGTTAATTTAAGATAAAATACATATCTGGGAAAAGACCCACAGAATTATGTGAAAGAAAGAAAAAAATACACAAAACCCCAAATACCTTCCGACAGTTTGAAAAGGCAGGGCAGCTCTCTTCAATTGATGAAGATAAAAGAGAAAAACAGCCCAGGGAGGGAAAAACCCCAAGCAGAATTAGCAAGTCCCCCTGCTGTCAACATGGGCAGAGAGGAGAGGAGAGCAGGGAAGGAGTTTCCACTGTCACCCGACTTGATTTTTTAAACCAAAATAAAACAGTGAGACTGGGATTTCGTTCTGGGTTTTGCCTGAAAGCAGCTGCCCCTCCTTCCTCAGGGCCCTTGCAGTCCGGCCGGCCTGGGGTGGGAGGGACGAACAGGCCGGGATGAACTTCTTTCCTGACCGTCAAAGGGAAGAGGCCGCGGTGGATGGGCCGGGGAGGCTCTGGAACTCGCGCTCCAACCCTCTACCCATCGCCTACGCCTCTGGGCAGGGTGCTCTCTTTGGAGAAAAGATGTCTCTCGGGTTGAGGGTCTGTCAAGAGCTCAAGATTGGCTTTGAAAGTTAGTGACTGAAGAAAGTCAGCAGGGCCCTGGCCGGTTTGGCTCAGCGGTTGGAGCGTCAGCCTGAGGTCCAGAGAGACCCGGGTTCGGTTCCCGCTAAGGGCACGTGTATCTCGGTTGCAGTTTGTCCCCGGCCCTGGTTGGTCATGCGGGTGGCAGCCACTCGATGTGTCCCTTTCACATCGATGTTTCTCTCTCTCTCTCTTCTTCTCTCTCCCTCCCGCTCTATCTGAACAAAAAATGGAAAAATGTCCTCGGGTGAGGATAAAAAAAGAGTGTCAGCAGGTCACAGCCCAGAGCGGAGAAACAGTAAAAAGAAAAGAATGAAATGAGCAGGGTGTTTGGAGTCAACCGCACTGCAGTCTGAAATCTGGCTTGAACACTCAGCGAGCACTGTGGCGCTGGGCAGCTCGCTTGAGCTCTGTGCCCCTCACTCTCGCCATCTGTAAATGGAGGGTTATAAGACCTGCCCTACCCACCCCGCAGGGCTGTTCTATTGGAACGCCCCTAGCAGACCATACAAGCGGCTGCAAATGGCTGTGCCTTGTAGTGTTGCCAGGTTTGTGATGTCACTAGCCGGGAGCACCTTGGTAGAGTTCTCAGTAAGCAATCCAACACTCACCTGGGTATTCTGGCTTTTTAAAAGGCCTAGGAAGGCTCAGCTCCAAAGGCTTGCCTTGCTTAGTGTCATTCAGCAAATATTTATTGAGCACTTACCATGTATCAGGCAATGTTCTAAGTACTGGGAATACAGTTAGTAGTTGACTTTTTCTCAGAATGAGATGGTGAATCAGTTTAGCTTTAGCAGATTAACAACCCACAAGAAACTTCGATGGCTTAAAGCAACCATATATTTAGCTTGTGAGTCTGCAGGTCATCTGGAAGGTTCTTCTGGTAGAGGTTGGGCTAGGCAGATCTTAACTGGACTCTGTCACATGTTCTCAGACAGCTAAGGTTGGCTGATGAGTGGCTTGTCTAGAATGCCTTTGTCTGGGATGGCTCTGCTCCACATGGTCTCTCCTCCCTCAACAGGTTTGCCTGGGCTTGTTTCCATGGCAGCTGCAAGGATCCCAAGGGGAAGAGCAGGAACATTCAAAGCCTCCCGAGGCCCAGGCTCAGACTCTGTACGATGCTCCTTCTGCCACATCCTATCAGACAAAGATAATCACAGGGCCAGCCCAGACTCGGTGAATTGAGTAGCAGACTTTGACTTTTGATAGGAGAAATTTAAAGAATTGTGGCCATTTCTGCAATCTCCCACGAGTGGGGAGCCATTGGAGGTTTTAGAGCAGAGCAATATGAGTTCTAACTTGGGTTTTAACAGGATCCCTCTGGATACAGTTGAGATTGAACTGGAGGGGAGCAGAGTGGAAGCAGGGAAGTCGGTTAGGATTACGGCATTAAATTATCGCAATGATCCAAGTAAAAGATGTTGGTGGCATAGACCAGTGAGGTGGGATGAAGGTGGTGAACAGTGGCCATGTAAGACAAAGACTGTGTCTCTTTCGTTTACAGATGTACGACCAGTGCCTAGTAAGTGCCTAATAAACAGTTGTCAAGTGAATAAATATATGAATAAATAAATGAATTCCCATAGGACTGTGCTCATAACTTATGGTGCTTATCATGACCCATGCTGTCCTGTATCTTTTCTCACCATAGTATATTGAAAGCTATAAAAGGATAAAAATGGTCGTATTTATATTTTATTAAGTATAATTTAATATTTACTAACACCTATTAGGTAGCAGAAATCATAATTATGAATAAGAGAGAGATCTTGCTCTCATAGAAAGAAGGGGAAGTAGCCAATTAACCAAATAGGTTATTATAAGTGATATAATATTCACACAAAGTTTTTTGTCTTTGTGTGAACATTATAGTCTATCATTCAAGTAAATACTTATTGAATGAATGATTACTTGATTTGGTGGTTTCACATCAATATATTTATTTAATATTTAACAGAGACTAATGAGGAGAGAAATGAAAAATTAGCTGACATTGAAAGATGGTCTCTTTCAATGGTATTATTGAAATGATTTTTGAATATTTAAGATTAACGAATGATAAACACTTGTGTATCCACTATTAAACTTAATAAATAAATTATGAATAGAGCTGAAAGCCCCTGTATATCCTTCCCTAATCCCATTCCCCACCCCACCCCCCACCCGCCAGGTAACTATTTTCCAGAATGTGGTCCTTATCATTCCTATTCATTTCTCTATGCTTGAACCATATTTATATGTATGCCCAAATAATACACGGTGTTGCCATGTGTAGTTTTAAACTTTTTACATTTTCAATATGCTTATATTTAACTTCTATTATTATTTTATAGTATTTCAATGGTCACGCAAAGCTTGGGATGCCTGAGGTATCACACTGAGGTAGTTCGGGAGAAATCCACAAAGCCATCAATACAGCTGTAACACAGTCAGCATCAGCTCAGTGAACATCAGCCCAAAGCCTAAGAATAATGCTCAGGTCGCATTTGCAGAACACTTAATTTCCTTATGCTGACAGTGAACACCTCTATCAGAATAGTTGTTGGCTCACACGTGGCCCTGGTACAAATTAGAAAACAGTGCCACCTCTTGGTGGGCAGCCCCAGGCAAAAGGCAAGGACTGGGGAGCACCTATTTGACTGCTAAGGTGGGGGCTTTTGAACAGTGAACAATTTGCACAACTGTTTCCAGCACCCTTGACATATGTCACTTACTATGTGCCATGTATGTGAATTAACCAACCACCTTCTATGTGCCAAATACACAAATTAACCCATTTAATTCTCACAGCAGTCATAGGAGCTAAGTACTATTCCCCACAACCTCAAATTTTTGGATGTGGAATACTGAGGTACAGAGAGGTTAAGTGATTTTTTTCAGGCTCACTCATAACAGCTGGCTTCCCCCAGATCAATCAGAGAGAGAGAGAGAGAGAGAGAGAGAGAGAGAGAGAGAGAGAGAGAGAGAGAGAGGCTTTGCAGTGCCTTTTATGACTTAGTCTCCCATCATTTCTGCTTTATTCTTTTCATTAGAAGCAAGGCTCTAAGTCTAGCCCACACTCTAGGGGAGGCAAATAAGACCCTACCTCTCGAAGGGAGAAATATTAAACAATCTGTGGACATTTCTTAAAACCACCACACTTCTCAAACTGAGTTCTGAGGGGACATAAAGCTGGATGAAGTCTGGCAGGAGATTCGGAGGGAGTTAGGAGACAGTATTCTGCAGTTCGCTCTGTCTCCAACCGACTGTATGACCTTAGGAAGGTCCCTTTCCCTCTCTGGGACTCTGCTTACCCAGATGTAAATTTGGTGCAAGGGAATGGTAGAGAGGAGTGCTAGAGTCTACTCTGTGAATCTAAGTTTGGCACAAACCCAAACAAATGAACAAACAAACAGAAAACCCAACCTCATTATGTCATGGCTATATTTCCTATGGATGCGAGCAACACCCTATAGCCAGACTGCCTGAGAGCTCGGCTCTTCACTTATTAGCTGGGTGACCTTGAGGTTAAGTTACCTAACCTCTCTGTGCCTCAATTTCTACATCTATCAAATGGGACCACATAATATCACCAACCTCTAGGGTTGTTGTAAGGACAAAAAGAGTTCAAGTTTGTAAAGTTCTTAGGACAGTGCCACAATATGAGTTTTTGTTAAACTGCAACAAAACTTGTACTATTCTACTGAAATATGACCAGCAGGGAGCCTTAGGGCAAGCTGATTTCCTGAGTAGAGTTAAGTGACATAATCCACCATCACATACTTGACAACCTGTATAGCATGGGCACCCAGCAGTCGGAACAGATCCGGGCCCCTGCTGCACGGAGCAAATAAGCTTTGGGTTGTTGGATTGTGGGAAGTGGGAGAGGGGGTGGTCTTGAAGAAGAGAAAGGGAGAAGTGGGGGGAGGGGGAACCCCAAGAATTTAGGGCAGCAACCATTTGCAAATCTGCATTTCAGTGTTTTAGTAACTGGTATAACACCAGCGCCTCTGGGATCAGCCTTGTTTAAAATTAGCAGGATATGTTGTGGGTAAATGGACTTCTTCTTTTTTTTTTTAGCCTCAGCCGAGGACATTTTTTCTTTTTTTCTTTTTTTTTTTTTGTCCAGATAGAGTGGGAGGAAGAGAGAGAGAGAAACATTGACGTGAAAGGGACACATCGAGTGGCTGCCACCCACACGACCCAACCAGGGCCGGGAACAAACTGCAACCAAGGTACATGCCCTTAGCGGGAACCGAACCCGGGTCTCTCTCGACCACAGGCCTATGGTCTAACCGCTGAGCCAAACCGGCCAGGGTGTAAATGGACTTCTTAAGATCATTGAAAATAGACAGTGTATTTCGAGTGCCTCAACCCCCCTCTATACATCCC